TAGCTGAATTCGGGCCAACTTTCAGACCAGATGCAGCGATAATGACTGTGCGTTTTATTCAGGTGAAGACGGTAGCTTAGACTTAGATTCATTGTAGCTGAATTCGGGCCAACTTTCAGACCAGATGCAGCGATAATGACTGTGCGTTTTATTCAGGTGAAGACGGTAGCTTAGACTTAGATTCTTAGATTCCTCGATCGACTTCGACTTATAGACATAGATTTGGAAGATCGACGGCTAGAAACAAAGACTGTTGCTCCAACTGGTCGATGGAGCCAGCCACCCAGCAATATAATGGTCATGGGGCACCACATTTTTCCAGCAGGGGTGGTTTGGTGTGACATGGTAGCCCACCAATAGAATGAAGGCATTGTGTGGAGAGGAAAAAAACAACAAAGGGGAAAGCGAAGGTCAAGTGTTGTTCGCAAAACCGCAATTCCTCAATTTGACCTTCACTTTCCTTTTTTAGGTTCTCTTTTCTCTTTTCCTCTTCTTTCTTGGCTTCCTCAATTTGAAAAGAACACTGAGGGCATACTCACACTAGGACTTTCCTGGATGTATATGTGACCGTTGAAAGATTCGGCCTGGATGCACTTGACCGCAATTACGTCCAGACAGGAGTGGAAAAAGAAGTCCTGGTGTGAATACGCCCTGAGTTTCTATCGATGGTCAGAAAATCAGAGAAGTTTGCCCGACGCTTTTCATCCTGTCGACTAAAGTTAGCATGCACGAGGTTCAAAATGCAGACCAGGTGCAGAAAAGGACACCATGTCAGCCTACACCACCTTCAGAATGCAGACCAGGTCCAAAGAGTACACCGGTGAGCTAGCACACACAATAACAAAGCCATAAACAAGCCATACACATAGACAAGACAGACAAGACATAGACAAGACATAGACAAGACACAGGCAAGACATGGACAAGCTCATAGACAAGCCATAGACAAGACATAGACAAGACATAGACAAGTTATAGGCAGGAGCAAAAAATGTCTAACAATATCAGACATCAGAGTAACCACCACCCATGGGGGCTGCCACAGCAAATAGCACAGGAAGGTAACGATGGTAGTGGTGGGTTATGGATGATGACAGGGGTGAGGTAAGCAATAGACAAGCTATAGCCATAGACAAGCAATGGCAATAGCCATAGACAAGCAATAGCCATAGACAAGCCATAGCTCTGTGCGCTCCAGTCACGGCAGCTGCTGCCCAGAACCATGCTTTTCGCACTTGAATGCAGGCCTGACAATTTGACAAATGGCATGCCAAGGGCCAAGCTCCCTCTTGTCTGGATCGTAATACACTATACACTGGCCAGCACTGATCTTCCGGTAATCCATAGGATGACCAAAATCGAATCAATATTCCGCTAGAACATGGAAATATACACTACTACACTCGTCTGTGTGTGTGTGTGTGTGTGTGTGTGTGTGTGTGTGTGTGTGTGTGTGTGTGTGTGTGTGTGTGTGTGTGTGTGTGTGATGATGTGTGTGTGTGTAACTTCCTGACCTCTGCCAGCACACATGGCTAATAAAAGTCATAAAACAATTGAGGAGGACGAGCCATCATTCATAGTGTGATTTAAGCCAAGATGTCCCGGAAGCCGACCATCCTAGTACTCGCAAGAAGCGTAGTACGCAACTGCCAATTTACGAGTATCCACAGCCGCTGCTCTCTCCTTTTTTTTGTCTTTTTTCTGTTTTTTTGTTTAAGCCGCTACTATCTTCTAAAATCCGTTCTCTTACAAACAATCCCTGGAACTACCGGTAGGTCAACTTCACCGTGGTCAAGGAACAGCCAAGAACACCGCAGGGTGGATTAACATGGGTTATTATCCTAGGGTGGGTTATTATCCTGGGGGGGTTGGCACCATCGGTAAGGTTGGATTAGCACACTAGGTAGGGCGGGTTGGTAGCCTACCGGTAGTTAACGTGGGTTAGCACTGTAGGTAGGGTGGGTGGGCACCATATGAAGGGTAAGTAATCAACCTAGGTAGGTAGAGTTAAAGTTTTCACGCTAGGGTTGGTGAATGACCCTAGCGTGTAAAGAGTAGGGAAAGGGGGGATATGCTGACAGATAAAGCCCCTTTAATGAGAAAAGAAAAAGAAAAAGAAAAAGAAAAAACATCCTGTTCGTGTCCGACGGGTACAATAATGATAAGGGCCTCGTTCGACCCCACTTGAACTCA